ACAACGGGGGGGGGGGAGACTCTCGCGTGAAGACACGACGAGAGCGTGTCCCGTCTCCCAGCAACGAACTGGATGCCGCGGCCTACTCCGCCCCATGGAGCCTGGCAGGGAGCCGAAAAAGCGGCAGCGTGAGGTTAGGCGCCAGGCGGCCGAATACTACCAGCGCCACGAAGTGCCGCAGCGGCTGGAGGAAGCGCTCAACGCCACGTACCCCCTGCGGCCCGCCGACCTCTACGGCCACCTGGTAGCCGAGGGGGTGGCAGTGCGCATACGCTGCGAGGAAGGGAGGGAGGGGGGAGGCAAAGCGCATACGCGGCGCGAGAGGGAGGGGATAGGGGGAGGAAGTGCGCAGGCGCAGACGAGCTCCCTTGCTCCAGGGTTCCCCGGCTCCCATCAGGAGTGGCGTGGGCGGCGCTTGGAGAAGGGCGGGAGGAGCGAGAATGAGGCTGGGGGAGAGAAGGGCAGGGGTAGATGCTGTCTTCAGGCCGCCTCCTTCAGGGGGTAGGGAGTGTGTCTGCATCCAGGTCCTTCACACACTGGAAAAACCCCAGCCACATAACGGCCAAGGGATAACGGTCAACGAGTCTTGTTCCTGGTTTTGTTAGTGGTTCGCGCAGCTGGGAGACCGTGCAATGAAACCTCTACTCCCAAGGGGAAAGCCAAGGGTCTCAGCCCCTGAGGCAGAAGAAATGTGGGGAGACCTTGCAATATAACCTCATTGACTAGCTTAACATGGCAGGGTTTCCCCCTGCGTTTCTTCTACCTCTGGCTGCGAGACCCTCAGATTTCATCTAGAGAGCGGAGCTGGTTTCTATCGAGCTCTTTCAATAAATAGAAAAGCTTTCAAGGATGGAGGCTCAAGACCCGCCACAATCATGGATAAAAACAAAGCTAAAAACTGATTAGGAGGCTTGTCCATGGGGATGGGTTTTTTTTGTTGGGACCGAGGCATAGGTCCAAATGCACCTGCCACAGAGCCTGTCCGTTGTGTTAAGCTAATTTGATTGATTTTCAGCTGACCAGGGAAAGCATTTTGGCTGCGTGAGTCTGCAGGCAGATGTTTTTAAATGTCTCTGCCGCTGCCCTGGGCTCTCCCAAACCTAGGAGAGGGACAGTCAGTTTTCACATCAGCGCTGCTATTCAGATCCCCACGGCCCTGAGCGAAACAGACAGAAGTCAGGCCAGGTTTCCCTGGCAGGTGTTTGACAAAGCGCGGCTGGCTAACGAAGCTAAATACTGGCGGTGGCACCGGAAATAAAACATCTGCTTAGTGCTAACAGTAGAACGGACAGCAATGTGAATATCACCTTCCAGTGCCTCTGGATGAAAGTCTCCCATGATCACATGGCCTTACATTGCTGATGTTATTTGTGATACTGTTCCCGGTCTGCTTTAAGTGTCATCACACCCCAAAAGAATCTGGAGCTATTGATAGCACCTGATATATTTTCTAGAAAACAACAAGAGTATAGACTGTACTACCATACTTGAGATAGCTGAACACACCTTCTCATACCCAGGAGCAAGATGCATTTTCCTCCTTAGTTAACGTATCTCTCCACATTGGAGCCATCTGCCCATCAGTATTGCGTATATGGCTATGCGTGTCGTCTTGTTCTTTCTTACCTCTCTGATGTGGAAGATTATTCCTCTTCCTTGCCAAAACCAGTTTTATTTTGAATGCCATGAGGTTTACAACACTGACGTGTGTTTCCTTCTACTATAACCAGCCTTCTCCTCTTTGGTCACTAACTACCACTTAGATTAAACTTAACTGTAACTACCTTTAATTATTCCTCTGTTATCATCTTGACAAAATAAATTTGGTGTATTCTCTAGATATTCAGCTGAACAAGAGAAATGCACTGTCGTCTTCTTACTGTGGGCAAGAGGAGCATTCCCACATACAGTCCTTTCTTTTCCTCAGGTCTTCAGCATTCAGACGCATCCTACACATAATGCTAAGTGGAAGAACTTTTTGTTCAAGATGGTAATGGTCAGGCCACAAAGATTATTTTATAGTATTTTCATTTTTTAAAAATCACATGATTATCTATAGCATTTCCCATCTTCCAAGCACTGAAAATAAATACTTATTTGGCTGACAACTACTTAATGAATTAAAACCTACCTTGGGATCTTTAATATTTGTTTGAGGCCAGATCCAGCAAAGCCTACTAAAACTCCACATGGCATTAGCAGAATTGTTCCTGATTGCACTTTTTCCTGTATTTCCTTCCAGAAGCAGGCACATTTTTTTTTAACTAAATGTCTTATCCACAGACAGATTTTTCTGTCTACGGATAAGACAGACAGCAACTCCTAGAGGGCAGTGGGTGGGCAAGGAGCTTGTACATGATCCTGAATAGAAATGAATAGTACTATGCTGGATAAGCCCAAATCCTGAACTGACTCTTAAGCAGATAACAAGGGTAACTGAATTATCTTGAATATCAGGGCTCAACAATGGATTTAATGCTAACATAGAATGAAAACCTGATTGATACAGAAACCAATTTTTAATCAAACTCTCTCATTCAAGGCTAACTACTTCTCCAAATACTCAAAACCTCCAGTAATATGCAAACTGGTTGGAAAAAGGGTCCTTGACGGAGTAGGTCGACCAACATTAGAAGTGGAAGTATTTTGCACCGTTAAAAACAATGAAAAGGTACATCTTGCTTTGTTACATATCTTAATATGACATTATTGTAGAGAGAAACACATTTTTGCTACATTTCAGTTCAAATGAGAGGTAGTGAAGGACACAAGTTGGATCAGTTTTTATGGAAATAATAAGTGCCTGAGGATATTAAAAGAAAGGACGTTTATTCTCATTCATATGTTTTGAGATGCCTGACTTTTATTCCTGTGACGCTATTAAAAAAAAAATCAAGGGCAGTCTGGGATGAACACAATATATGTGTATTTCATCCTGGCAGTTTAGAATGATATGGTCGTCAGTCCATTTAAACATAGCAACTAGTGTCATAAAAGTACAAGATCAACACTGTATTTGCCCATGTTCATGAGCATCTATTATTCCATTGATAACTACTCCACAATAGGTCCTGAAGACTCTCTCCTGTTCTCACACAAATTTAACCAGCCTGTGGGGGGTTTTGCCTTCCTCTCTAGTGGGGGCTTGGCTCTCTTCCTGGGAGCTCTCAGAGGGAGGATGCTGGCTACCATGATTCTCCTGCTTTACCTGTGGCAGGTTAGGGTGTTATGTCTTGTGTTGTGTCAGGGTTGACTGTAGCTTACTAAGACGTTAGACGGTGGATTTGTGTGGGAAGGTTTGGATAGGGATGATCCTGCCTCAGGCAGGGGGTTGGGCTAGATGATCTCTTGAGGTCCCTTCCACCCTTAGTTCTCTATGATTCTATGACCATTTGTATAACTTAAAATGCTCAGAAAAGGAGAACATTTTAAAATCTACTTTGAAAATTATTCAAGGTTTTTGGGGTTTTTTTACCTCTACTATCTGTAAATGACTAATTTACATGGGGGGCAGGCACAGGCATGTGGGGCATGTGGCAGGGAGGATAGGCAGAAGCACAGGGAGGGGCAGGGAGCAGAGGGGGCAAGCCAGGAGGGCAGCAGATGCTGGTCCGGCCCCTAGACCCTCCTGCCTCTGCTTTCTGCACTGTAGCAGTGTGTGGGGGGAAAGGGGGAGGACAGTAGGGGGGGTTGCAATTTAAGACAATCCTGCAATAATTGGATTGTATACATGGAAAATTTATAATAAAGTTACAATTTTTTCATGTCCAGAATCTAATTATGGTGGGGGCGGTATCTTAATTTCAAAGTTATCTTGGATTAGGGTAAATATAGTACTGACTGATTAAAATAGAGTTCATTTTGAAGGTCTCATTTTCATTATGAGACTTGATTACAACTGTAGATGGTCCATTGTATCATGATTCACTAGCAGTTGTGTATGATGCTTTCACTTACTTCATTTAAGGTGTAAATCTATCCTGCCTTTCACTTGCCATCAGGCTAATACAGCTAACTATGTTTTGCTGCCATTTACCCTCACTGATGTCTCAACTCTCAGTTGTTAATGTCATTTAGATGCATCTAGTATTGCCAGATAAATAACATTTAACAACTTATTTTCATGCATGCACATTTCATAGGAGGGGATAAATAAATTCAAGTTTGAGTCTTCTGTAAAGTTACTTATGAACATTTATTTTTTTATTTGGTTTAGATGGTCTACAGTATATTGAGGGGAAAATTTTTAAAGCATTTTAGTACTGAAAGATCAAGGTGGGGGAATAAAAAAATGTTAACTTCCCCAGAGTTAAAACAGCATTCTCATGGTTAAAACAAATTGGATTTCCTGGGTCATGTCACACTCTTAGGGTTAGATTCTGCAATCTGATACACAAAGACAGACCAATATGTCTATGCAGATTCCCACTAATTTATGTTACACTATATGGAAGAATATGGGCATAGATAGGTGCAACAATTTTATTAATAGAAAATACCACTGGTATAAGATGTTATAATATACCATATTTACTTGAATCCAAGATGAGGTTTTATCCCCCACCCCCACCCCAATTTAGCATGGGGAAAAAAAGCCCCTTATTTTGGAATCAAATACAGGTGGGAGAGGGAGGGGAAAGGTTGCTGCTGTGGCTTCAGCTCCATTACCAACCTGGGGCTGTTAGCTGCTCCCCTGCTGCCTCTGCACCTGCCCTACCTCCTCCCTCCCCTCCACAGCCTTTGCCCCCCACCTATTCCTTATACCTTTGCTCTGACTTAGGCAGGCTCCAGCCCCACTCTAGCCTGGAGCACAGGGCATGTTTGCTCCAGTCTCAGCCCATCCCAATAACAACCGATATGATGGCAGCAGCTGCAGCCAGGCCTCAGAACCTGTGCCACAGCTGCTGCCACCACAGCTGCTACTGTCATGCTAGGGTCAATGCTCCAGGCTGGAGCAGGGCCAGAGCCTGCTGGAGTAAGGGTAAGTGGTATGGGAGGTAGGCAGGGGGTACAGGCTGCAGGGGAGGGGGAAAGGCAAGAGGAAGGAAGGCCAGGCAATGGGACAGGCATTGGAGGGAGGCCAGGTGCCAGGGGGTACAGGCATGAGAGAGAGCAAGTAGCAAGGGGGATAGGGAGCAGAGGAAGCAAATGGGGAGCAGGTGGTAGGGGGCAAGGTGAGGGGGAACAAGGCTGCTTGACTGCCCCTACGTTTCCCCTTACTGCCTCCCTGCCACCACCTGCAACTGTTTTTCCTGGTGCAGCAGTAGTGGGGGATGAATTTAGGACAGCCCCCACAATAATTAGATTATATACATGGAAAATTATAACAAATTGATATTCTCTTAAATATAAGTTTTAAATCCAGAGTCATTTTGGATTCAAGTGAATACAGTAACTGTTTTATCTCATATAACAGTTACAGTTAACAGCTGATGCAGCAACTCACCCTCTTTTAAAGTGGTCAGAAGTTACGTCTGTCCACAGGCTACGTGTCTTTTGGCAAGGATGAGAGATGCAGATGGGAGCTAGCTATTGAAACATTCTGAACCTTACTTTGCCCTCTAAAAATGAATATAAAGGAAATGTAAAGCCTAGGCATGATTTTTAAAACAGTTTGAAAAGTAGTGAATGGAAGAACAGAAGTTTAAGAAACCAAGAAAAATGTAATAGAAAATGAGAATAATAGGATCGCAGTTCATTCATTGGGGGGAAAATGTGATTAAGCCCATCTCAGTCTCATCTGTTTAGGTGAAATTTCAGTTAGCAATGGAAGAGTTTGTAAGCCTTTTAACATTATTTTGCAGAGGATTTGTTCCACTGTGATCCCTTCTCACTCTGATATATTTGAAAATGCTTTACCTGAAGCAATTGATGCTGATGAGAAAGAAAGGAATGATTCTATTAAAACTGCCCTAGAATGGGTGAATGAATCGGTGAATGAAATTCTCAAAGATATGCAACCTACTGACCAGTGTAAAATTGATAAGTTACTTGGGTAGGTTTTACCTATTTATTCCATTGATCTTCCTGTTGTAAAAGAGGTTCTTGTATTTGAAATATAAACAATATGTTATTCCATAGTTTTTCTTATGTTGTGCCTGACCCTTTCTCTGTATATTTTTAGGATATGTTCATTGTGACTGGAAGCATTGCGCTATATTATTTCCAACTGTTGTGTATATTTATATGTAGAAAGTCGCATGAACTTGGCATCAAAGTCACATAAACTGATTTTATACAGGATAAAAAGGTGTAAGACACAAGGAAGGAATATACCCAGGAATTATACCTACATTGGTTCCATGTAAGCAACTGATCCAACGCCTATTGAAATCATTACAATGATTTCAGTAAGCAGATGATATGGATCCAGTGCACTTTTCTTCAGCACCTGCTGAAGCTGAATCTTCCTTAGACAGTTTCTCCATCTACTCTGGCCACTAGACTGGGGAACATACATGGTTTGAAGGGCCTGGATGAATTCTCTGCACTGAGATAAATTACCCAAAAAGGTTCATTTACCGATCTGTTTTTTTAGTGGAGGTTTCATTAAAAGTAGGCCATTCTCAAAGGGCATTTAAGACACTTCCTGTGGGCTAGTTATTTTCTTTTAATGCTGGTTTTAAACTTCCTTGAAAGATTCCTTTTTAATGAACATTCATATATCTTTTTTCTATACAATCGTTTTACATTTTAGAGGAATTACACAGCAATGGGGAATGGACATACTTCTCAATGCCTAAAACATAAAAAACAAATCCTAAAACAAAGTACTTAGAAATGCCTCTGAGTGGTTTTTGATTTTCCTGATACCAAAACTCCTGTTGTTTTAATTAAAGAGATTTTGTAAAAAAATAAAATGGTTCTTTGTCTTGAGAATGTTGTCTGTAGTAATATCCAATGTAAATCATATTATAAACTACATATATTCTTTACCAAAAAATCTTCTCAAAGGCTGGGATTTCAGTATAGCAGTAGAGAGCTTACCTGAGTAAAGACTTGCAGCTCTCCACTCTGAGAATGGCAGTAGGATCTCTCCTCATCTTCTGAAGTTGTAAAAATTACTGAAGGTTGCCTTTTGGAAAGGATCTTTCTTCTAAGTGAATCAGGCATTTCTTTTTACTCCTTAAAATGCAGTATTTAATACATCATGGACTGACAGGCGTGAACTGCAGTCAGAGAATTAGCATGATGGAGCCTGTGTAGCTAGGAAAGCCCTGAATAAAACACTGATGTGTAGTCTCATATAATCACCCTGCACCGAGATACATCCACCCCCCCCCACATTTCATTTCCATTTCATACATAACACCTAAAATGTAGCCACTCTCAGAGGGTATCTAGAGCACTTACCTTGTGGTAGCTAATCTCCCTTGGGCAAATGGACAAAGTGATAGTTCTAGGAAAGTTACAAGGCCACTTTACTATCCACACAAAACAAATAGGACTTTCTTTTTAAGATTGTATGTGCATGAATTTGGAAGGATAAGTAACTGTCAACATTGCTGGGTTTAAGAGATATTTTACTGTCCAAACTGACGATGTAAACCAGAGAGCCATCTATGTTGAGTATCAACTCAGTAGGAAATCAAAACAGCTGAAAAATAAGGTTTAATCAGTGAGCTGCTAAATAGCATTATTACCTTCATGCGAGTCTATAGACGTTACCCTTATCTTGCTCCCTCTGTCCAGAGATCTCCAAGCACATTTCTGATTGGTTCTATAACGTTCCTTTGTGATATGAATTATTGACCTGAATTTACAGAAGCCCAAAAAGAGGCACAATGCAATGTAATGACTTTCCCAAGTCCACGTGGGAATCCATACTAAAATCTTGAGGAGTTGTCTTAATGCTATCACCAAACATGCATCCATACCCACCCTTCATGTGCCCGGTAACATTCTTAATGTTAAACTCAACCTGTGGTACGCGTACCTCTGGGGGTACACGAGACACAGGCAGGGGGTACGCAGGTACCCCAACACTCTGTATCTCTTGCCCTCTCTTCCTTTCTCTCTCGCCCCTTCCTCCTCTCAAAATGATGACAAAAAATTTGGTGCACTGCGCATTGCATGGTGTTTTAAATTCCCCAGTAATAATTTGATGTGCCATGCTTTGCGCGGCACTGGCTTCAGCCCTCCTGGCTTTGGCCAACATCACCTCTAGCCCAGGAACATATTTGAGTTGTGCACCCCTGGTGTAAAAGGTGGCAACCCTACCCACACCAGATCAGACATCTGTCATATCATGGCCTTATATACGCAGCCCTTCTTCCAACATACAGCACATATTAATCTGTAAATAAAAAATACCCTGGAAAATTGAGTGCTGGGGTACTTATTAAAATTTTCAGAAGTTTGGGGGCACTTGCTACTAAAAAGGTTGAGAAACACTGTGTTAAACCACTCATGTTTTTTTTCCCCTCTCAGTGAATACTTTACAAAGAAAGTAGAGGAAGAAGAAGAAAGAAAAAAAACTGAAAAGGAAGAACAAGAGACAGAAATTTCTATACCCACATGTGTTTCATCTTCACCTGCTGCAGTACAAGCTGGCAAAAAAAAGTCATCCAAAATAGGTTTTAGTGGATTTTCTTATACTGTTTTCAGCAACATGGGTGTTGGTAAAGATGCTAGCATACCTCTGCAGCTCCCCATATGCTGTCAAGAATAGTAGCACTTCCTTACATGGCTTTTGAAGATACATCCCACCCTCCTTTCTGACCACTAGCAGCAGTTTTCCACCTCTATCAGAGCTCCAATCAGCATTAAGGAGAGTGACATATACTGCCAAAGAGCAGAGAGGTATGGGGTGGGGTTATGTGTGGACAAAGTATGTTCACGTCCACATGGAGTAGTGGAGCTGAACTGCTGCCATCAAGTTCTGATTCGCATGGACAGGGGAATACAACTTCAGGATCATGAATGAGAAAGGAAGAGGAAGCAAATAGTTAATGGAAATTTGATTAATGGTTAAATTGATTAATTTTATTAAAATATGGTTAATGGAACCATAAAAAAGGAAATGGGAGTGAAATGAAGGAAGAAAGAATATGAGTAGAGAAGGGAAATGGGAGAGCGGAGAAAGTACTAAAGGGGAAAAATTGAAGTGAGATGGCAGCTTGGGTATACAGAAAGAAAGGAACAGAAGGGAGCAGTGCGATGGGAGGGAAAGAGGCAGCAAGGCAGTATGGGGAGGAAAAAGATGGAGGGATGAGAGAATGTTGTGAGAAAAGGAAAGTGGCTAATAGAGATGAAAGGGGATAAATGCACAGGGAAAAGTGTGTTCGTTCCTCGCATTTGTTGTTAGAGAAACATCCTCTTTCCTATTATTTTCCTTCTGTGGATGTGGAGCATGAGCCATCATTTATTGCAGCAGAAAATGGTGTCAAATGCCTGTTTATGTTTATCTTCTTAATGTGTTTTCACTTATCTTGTAACATCAGCATAATCTCTTGATTGATACTGCATTAAACAAGGCAACACTAATGTAAATATTCTTCTATTTCCAACTTAAATCAGCCATCCAGAGCTGTGGGTGTAGACAGATGTAGCATTGAAAGTACTTCAGTGCTCACATTGGGGTCAGTACTGAAGAGTGTTGGGCACTGTCAGAGAGCACTCTTTGGTTTGCTCTGACATTGCTCTCCCTGCTGCACAGGTTACTGTAGCACTCCATTGCACCCTCTGGCTTGAGAGCATGCCACTACATGCAGCCACGTTGATTTTGAAGTGCTCCAGCCTGGATGTGTGGCAGAGGCCTGTCTGTCTGTCAGCGACTGAAATACTCCATTTCTGGAGCATGTTTCAAATATTATGTCTGTTCTTACTCTATCCTGTCCATCCTCAGGTGGCACTCTCTCTTGCATACAACAGTTATAGTGGGACTTTTAAAAATATATAAATGCTACTGATCACTTAGGCTCCATCTACACATTGCACTTAAGGCATGATTAACTAGTTAATCATACCTTAAGTGGGTCACTTGGCCATACATTCAAGCAATTAATGGCATGATAATAAAAGGAATAAGCTACAAAGTTATTCCACAAAATATGTGTAATAACTTTGTACTTGGCTTCATATACAAAATATGTGTAATAACTTTGTACCTGTAATAACTTTATAACTCCACTGAATGTGTGGCCCAGGGCCCCTGTGGCTGGGAGCCCCATCAGCTGATTGGAGCTCCCAGCTGGAGGGGGCATATGCACCCTCAACCCCAGGTGGCAGGGATCCCAGCCATGGGAGGACCCTATGCACACCTAAGGCTGGGAGACAGCAGCTGATGTGATCTTCCTGCTGCAAAGGCACCCTATGCACCCCTGTCAGCTGAGGGGGATCCCAGCCATGGGAGCTTGCTACTTGCTGGTGCAGGGAGAACCTGGCAATAAGGCATGATGGGATCTAATATGCGATCCCACAGTCACCCCTCCTGCCACGCTTGTGTGGCATGGCAGGAAGCGGAATAGTGGGGATCACACATTTACAGTTATTTTCTTGAGGAAAAACATGCTCCTGGCAGTCAGTTGCCTCGAAACAGTAACAGGTACGTGACTTCAGTAACTGGACTTTAGAATGGAATCTATATATTTTCAATTTAAGGTGGACTAAAAGATAATTTACAACAAAGACTATCTGGAAAACAGTAGAATCCAAACATATAATTCAGTACTGGATCATTCACTTATTCTGTTCCTACTTATGCAACTCTGTCTTCTAGGTATCAGTACAGTATGTGGATATGCTGTAAAACTATACAAGGTCATATTTTAGGTTTGCCTTGACCTACAGTACCATATTTGCATTCTGCTTCATTTGCATTTTGCTGAACATTGCTTATTCCTGTATGAAACACCCATTAAAACAAAATGAACAATCAGATTTTTGAAGGAGCACAACATATTGGATGTCGATCTCTTTAAAAAGCCTGGTCATAAACATCAACAATGGGAGCAGCTAGGTGCTGAACATTTAAAAAAATCTGATATCTATACAAGAGTTCTTTTGAAAATCTAGCCCAGATTGTAGGTACCGAGTATTTGAAAATCTTATCTTTTGAGATCATTTGAAAAATCAAGCCCCATCAATGCATTATTTTTCATCTTAGTTACTATGTATTAGTTTTTTAGCACAAAGAAAGTAGATGAACTCCCTGACACAGTGAGCTAGTAATATAAGGTAGATAAATGAAGGAGGAGACCAAACAAGGGAAAGGAGTGGCAGGGTTTTGCAAAGTTATTTATGCTTGGTGTTTGAAAGGTTGGATATTGCCTCTAATGCAGGTAGGCATAAGCTAGAGGGATAGTGGTAAGAAGCCAGCTCAGGGGAGTGGATTTTGAGAAGGAATTACCAGCAAAAGTCATTTAGAGATGGATGCTGCTGGCATATAGAAATCAAAATCATTTCTAATAAAAACGCACAATACAATGCACTATGGACCAATTTCTTTTAAATTAACATCAAATTAGCAGATTATTTAACTATATTCCATATATTTGTAGCACAGTGATCTAGATACACAAGTGACTTTTAAAACAGGAAAACATCCATTAAATATTCCTTATCTTATTAGGAATGAAGACTTCTGTTGCAGAGAAACCAATTCCACCTATGGAACCTGTTGAACCACCATTCTGTGGCAGCATAGCCATTGCAGGAATATCACTTGCTGTTGCTAAAACTGGTGCAACCGTTAACCGCACACCCTTATACTTACACATTGCATGGCTGAAACATGATCAGGTACTTGCTGTTATTTTGATTTTTCTTCCTTTTGTCACAGTTGTAATTATTACTGAGTTCTGTACTTCAAGAATGTTTAGTTAAAAGCAATGTGGTTTGACATTTCATATTTAGATAATGCCTTGCCACCTGATGTGCAGCACATTCAAATCACTAGAAGGAACATTTCTATCGACTTTAATGGGTTTGGACTGGGACCATGATGTAATGAAACTAAGCTGGGAAACATTTAGTTAATAATTAAATATTCTTAATTTCATGGCATTCACATGAAGTCTATAAAATCACAAAAAGTGGGGACAAAGTGACTGGTGATCTGTTATTTGTTGGGTGCATCTACACATGCACTCTTCTGCAGAGTAGACTAATTAGCTCAGTAGTAAAGCATCACTATTTACATGTGTGCCAGTATTAAGGCGCAGTAAACTAGTCAACTCTACCGAGGACACTACTACCTTATGGCAGAGTAATTAAATGCACTGAAACGCGTATGTAGATGGTGACTGGGCAGGGACCAGACTCCTGGCTGCTGCCTAGCCACACAGCTCTGCAGGTTCTGCACTCTTGTGCCCCAATCAGTCCCTCCGCTGCCTGACACCACTGCCCAGACCCTGGGGCTGACCTCTGTACTCCTTGCTAGCCTGGGCCTGCTCCATCCCAGCTCACATTGCTGCTGTCCTGGGTGCATGTGTAGACACTGCACCTGGGAGCAGTTTACTCTGGCTCAAACACTCTGGAGTTTATTGCTTTGCCTTAATTTCATGTATAGGTGCACCCACTTAAGTCCTGTATATAATACTAGAACTAGGGGGCAAATTTAAATTAATAGGACACTGGTTTAAAACCAAACAGGGAAAGTACTTTTTATGCAATGTATAGTTCACTTCTGAAATTCATTACTACAGGAGTTTGTAGAGGCAGATAGTATAGCCTGGTTCCAAAAAGGGAATAAAATTAATGGATAACAGATATATTATCAGCTATTAAGTAGAACAGTTGACGACGTTTCCTCTGGCATTTCTAAAGCTGTGATGGTGGATGCCAGGAAGGGTAATGGACCAGGAACAGATCAGTTCAGATATGCCCAGTTCAATGCTTTCCCTCTAAAGCACCCAATCCCACCACTTTTAGAGACAGAATATTGAAATAAATGGACCATTGGTCTGACCCAGTATGGCACTTCTTATCTGTTTACAACTTTCTCAATTTCAGGATTTGCCTAAGGAAATGACTCTGCCCCAACCAATGGTCACTCTTTTAAGCTGTGGAAAATCATCACCTGGAAAAGTGAAATTAATGAAAGAAGTGATGCTTATACCACCAACTGGGTTAACAGTTAAACAAGTACTTCAAGCTGTTAATTTCGCTTTGCTTTCTTTTAGCAGTTTAGACAACGTGCCTTTTAGATGCAGCCCTTAGAAAGCATCTGTGTGTTGGGGAGGAGGAGTAGGGGTTGTTTGTTTCACTTGTGAAATCGAAGATTTAATAACATATCTTTACAATACTAAATATTTATAATAAGGATTCTTTGTATTTATGGATAATAAAAGGCGTACAATTAGTATACAGCAAGAATGAAAAGCCGGAGCAGAGTAACATGTAATAGGTTTATGTAAAATGTGAATGACATTCATAGATAATAAATCATAAATCATTTAGTGCCTAGAGCATAAAAAAGGAGATGACCCCAGAAAAGCGCATAATAAAAATGCAAAATCTGTGGGGGGAAATTGCTTTAAAAATGAAGTTATCAGGATGGAAGAGATGACAAAAGGAATAGAAGCCTTTGAAGGAACTGGATGGAGAAGAAACAGGATAGGTCAACACCCCCCCCCCTTTTTTTTTGTTAACTGAGTTTTGTCAAAGAACATACATGCACAAGATGCCTACAACATCACTCTTACACTACATTAAAGCCATAATTCCTGTTT